GGTGTATTTTTTTTTTTGATCGAAGGGGAAAGGGGGTGTCTTTTTTTAAATTATTGTTATTGTTATTGTTATTATTTATTGACTACCACTATGAAAGTCCTTAAAATATTTTTTAAAAAAATAAACTGACGGGCAGATCTGTTTTGCAGAAGTGACGCTGTTTTCACGCCGTCTGTTTCTCACGAACTTGGGGAAGAGGTTAAGAAGAGTGTTTTCGTTTTAATCCGTTCACTGGGACATTCGCTCACGTCTTTTGGGAATCTGTGGAGAAGGAACGGAATCCCTTGGCACTGGGATCCGAGAGGAAACACACGCACTGAGATAACACATCTTCTCCTTCCCTCCAACCCAAGTCTGGGGGGGGGCGGTCCTAGGAATAAGCCCCGTTGAAACTCGATGGCCTTTAAGTTGTTAGTGTTATTTGAGTTAATAGGGAGCGGGGAGACAGGAAGGAAGAAAACCACCTACTGTAGCTTACTTTGGAGCAAGGATTACGGAAAAGTCAGTATCTCTAATGAAGCATCAGTCTCCTTTTAAATTAGGATAAGGGAAGAAACAGGATGCCAATAGGGCTTGTTGCGGCTTCAAAATCCTTAAGGAAAAAAAACCTCACCCCCTTCCTTAAAACCGCCAAGGTGAAGCACTCTCGCACCTGTATTCTCAAGTTGAGTTTTGTGTCGCTAGAAACAAGATGCCAATAGGGCTTGTTGCGGCTTCAAAATCCTTAAGGAAAAAAAAAACTCACCCCCTTCCTTAAAACCGCCAAGGTGAAGCACTCTCGCACCTGTATTCTCAAGTTGAGTTTTGTGTCGCTAGTTTGAACGTACTTTCCTAGTTAGTTCATAATAATGTTCTGTAAACACAGCGCGCACATTTTTTGTTTTTGTTTTTAGTTGTTTGGGGCCGCTTCTTTCCCTTACTCCCTCTTCCATATTTAACTGGGTGTGGCAGTAATACTGTACACGAAACCTTGTGAAAATTGAGAGTAGTGTCGATTTTGTGCGAGCATCAAAAAGAGCAAAAATCCTCGCAAGATGGGATAACCGGAGTTCTGCTGCAGTTTCAGTGTCATGGATGTCAAATGGTAGTTCCGTACTGAAAATTTTAATAGCTTTGAATTTTTATGGGGAGGGCACACAAAACAATCCAAACGGCTCTTTTATCTAGGCTTCCTGCCCCCCTCCCGACACTCGGCAAAAGCTTGTACATAGTTTATTACAAAAAAAAAATTTCTGAGAGAGAGAGAGAGAGACAGTAAAACTATGGGTTGGGAGGAAAAAGGAAGGGAGAAAATGGCCATGCACGTGTTATGTTTTCTAGCTAGGATCCGTAGGGAAAAGGTCGATCCGTGTTTGGGTTAGGGTTAGAGCATGAAAAAAGATGCTGGGTCGCTCTTGAAAATGGGACCGAGTCTGATCTGAGCGGTGACCTTTTAACTTGAGGTTGGTGGAGGGATCAGGTGAACAACCGCGCGATCTTTCATCTTTGCTGTCTAGCGGGCTTTGAAATTAAGCAAAAGGGAGCGTGGGGCGCCTGCCAGTTTGCTCCTGTCGATTGAGAAATGGGAGGGATTCCGACAGGAAACAAACATATTTGATGGCAAATCCTGAGAAAACAAGCATCACCAGACTACAGAAGCGCGGGGAATATTTAGCTTTAGGAATGTCAGAATGACTGGGAGAGACCTGAATTAAGAAACCTGATGTTCTGTAGAGAGAGAAAGAATGAGGACGGTTAGGCGACAAAGGACGATTCTCAATCTCTACCCTTTGACAGAAGCGAAGTCCGTGGTGGTTATGATAAGCTGCTCTCGGCAGTCCAAGCGAAAATAAATAAAATCAAAAGCCATAATCTAATCTCCGTAAAAATCTAGGCCCGTGAAACTTCCCCTGCAATCTTGGTTTGTGTGTATTTATGGTAAATCCCAGGCGGGTGATCCTAAGGAGGCCTACTCAGAAGTGCGACCGTCGTTGAGTTCAGTGGGGCTTACATCCAGGTAACCGTGGATGTGATTGACCAGTGAGACCCGAAATACAAGGGAGGTCAGACCGAGACAGTTTGCTGGAATATAGGTGAGCACAGACGAGGGGGAGAAATCCTGCGCGATCGGCTGGTTTAATGTTTTTTTCGTTTCTTTTTTTTCCTCCCTCCCCCAAAGTAACAAAGTAACATCTCAGACATGGTTCTAGATTAAAGAACGAGTGTGCCTGTGAATACAGAATCAGCCCAAACATTTGTGCTCCGCACTAAAGCCAAGCCACAAAGTCAGTTCGCCCAGCATCCTACGCCCGACGTCTAGCATCTTTCCCAAGCAACCGAAGTTCGCCGCGAAGGGCTGGTTGTTGTTGTTGTTTAATGGATACACATTCCGGAGGCAGAAAACCGGCCCGATTTACCGCAAGTCACTCAGATCTACTGGTGGTGCCTTCCACTCCCCGCCCCAGCGCTACAGAAAACTCCACCATCCCCGGTGCCCTTCTGCTTCTTTTTCTTTGTAAAAGGGAAAGGGAGGTAGCGCTTCAGCAAGAAAGGAGAACCAAAGAAGGCCTCCTGCACGAGGGAAGAGGGCGCAAATGTGGACGTTGCTGGGGAGAGGGTGTGTGCAGAGGAAGAGGAGAGCAAGGCCACTTTAAAGTCTACACCGTGGGATCCTTCGGGATTTGAAACAGGTAGAAATCCCGAGGTTTCCCCGTTACCCAGAGCAGTGTGGCTGCAGCGGTTGCGCGCCAGATGCGTTTGGGCCCTGAGGGCACAGCCCGTGGGTCTTCTCGAGGACCTCCTGGGCCGGCGATGCTTCTTCGCAACTCCCCAAGGCCGAAGACCCGCCGCCTGGCCCTGCCTCCTGCCTCCTGCCCGGTTGCGTCAAAGTTCAGCCTTTCTGGGAGGGAGGCGACTGTCTGCCACACATATTTCCAGCCCGAAAAGATGATGCCTCCCCCCTCACCGATGCAGATCCAAGCTAGGACGGGCTCCACGGGGAAGTCACCCTTTTGCCTAAGAAAGGAAGCTGCCCCGATGTGCTTGGACAAGGCCTTCTCCTTAGCAAGGGACTGGTTTGGGGGCGGGGGGGGGAAGGAACAGGGCCCGGGGCAGGCAGAGCTAGTAGGTCCACAACCGGAAGATGTGGGCGTTGGGAGGAAAAGAGAACAACGGAGAAAGTTGAGGGGGCGGGGGCTCTGTCACACACACACACACACACACACACACACAAACACACACAGACGCATGCATGCATGCCCGCATGCACACACAGAGCCTTGGAGTCTTCGCCTGTTATTTGGAAAGCTCTTTGCGGATCAAAGCGCCACCGCTTTGGCGAGGTCAGGATTTGTGGCTTGGAGGAGAAGGGGGGGGGTTTCCTTCCTTCCTTCCTTCCTTCCTTCCTTCCTTCACACACACGATTA